GGAAAGAGGGAAGGGAAAAGAAGGAAGTGAAGGAAAGCTTCCAGGATGCCTTCTCCTTTTCTCAAGCACCAGCCTGGTTCATGAACATGTACATTGTCAGACTGTTCTGAAAAACAATGACCAACTGCAAACTCAGAGGAATAGGTTTATTGTATCAAAACTTAGTAGTGAGTGTTAAAGGTCCAGCCCCAGTCCCATCCCAGAGAAAGTGCAACCCAGGGCTGTGTTCCGGTCTTAACCTGCCTCAGAGAAGATGAATTCCTTATGCATTCTAATATATTTTAAATGGGAACAACAAAAGGTGTTATAGTTATGGCAGCATGCCATTTAGTTGCAAGTAAGAGAAAGTTTGACGAAAACTAGATATACAATAAAGTGAAAGTATTTTTCCTTAGAACTGGAAGTCCAGAGTTAGGTCAGAATATGATTCAGTGGCTCAGCAATATCATCAATAACCTAATTGCTTTCTGTTTCTCCACTCCGCTTTTGAGCAGGATTATCTTCTTTCTAAAGCTAGCTCCCATCATGGTTGTAGGTTGTCTGTCAACTTACTTCTGGGACAACAGATCTCCATATCTAAAGGAGAAAGAAAAAGTTGTTTTCATATACTTTCTCCTCACTCAAACAACACAAACCTGTTCTTACACATCACTGTCTCCAAATGTGTCATATACCTACCTAGACCAATAACAATGGCCAGGAAAAGGGAAAAGATTTACTTAGTTCTGAGACACGGACTTCTCTTTAAATCCCAAAAAGGAGTCCATCTTCCCCCAAGGCATTGATGTAGATACTCCAATAAACCTGAAGATTTAATAACAGAAAGAACTTTGAAAACTGGTGAAACAGGCACAATATACTTTGCAAAGAGTTTCTTGAAAGCCTGCTAACGTACTGCTACAGTTCCAACAACTGGACCCATGGCTTTTTCCTTCTGCAACAAATGTTGATTGGTAGTACCATAATTCTCAACATTTAGTGTTCATATAGTCACCTGCTAAGCTTTTTAAAAATGCAGATACCTGGGCTGACACCCAAAATTCAAATTCAGTGGACCTGGAGCATTTTAACAAGCACCCAGGGTTATTCTGTTATGGGCATTGAGAAGATCAAACGTAACCAAATTCTGTATATCAGATATATATTTTTACTGCCTGTTTTCCTACCATCACCATAACTCAGTACAACCTTCTACATTGTGACCAGGTAGAGCAATACAGGATAATTTGTTAGTTTGTTTAATTTTATTCTGTTTGATGCATGTGTTTTTAATTTTCAGCATTGGAGGAACTTGCATGTGACATAAACATATAAATAGTTTTTCAATTTGCTGATTTCAAAGTTTCTAAGAAGCAAATAGAGTAAAGAATCATTTAGGTAGCATGACATTATCTTCTGTGATACTTATTTCACTTAAATGTCACTAAATAAGTCACTAATGTCCATTTTGAGGCTTATTTTTACTCCTGGGGCTCTCTAGCTGCCACCTGTTAATAGTTCATGATGCTTTTTTGTTTGGTAATACAGTTATAAAGCCATCTGTGCCAGAGATAGCTGAAACTGAATTAATACCAATACTAACCTTCACGTACATACTTTTCTGTGTGTACGCATGTGTATTATAATAGTATAAATGTTGCTTAGTGACATCGACATATTATGAGAGACTCCAACTATGGAGATATTGCATAGAAACAGAATTCTATGCAGACTTGTGTACCTGCTGATGCTAATATTGTTAATTTGTTACAAAGATGCTTTCAGGTATGACAGGCTCAAGTTTAGGTTAGTGCACTTCTTGCCCCAAAGGCTTGGATTTTAAGATGTTCTATTTGCTAGGACTTCTATAAATTTGGAATTGTCTTTACTTCAGTGCTTGCTAGTACTTTCCTAAAATTCCTTGCTTATCCATATGTAATGGAGGTATACAATCTCAGCACTTCTAATTTTTCTTCCTTAGGCACTATATATTTAGTTTGTTTCGTTTAACCACATAGTCAGGATGTCACCTGCCTATGTCTATCCTTGGTATAGAGGACTTGAAGAAGTTTCCAAGGGAGAACTTTATTTCTTAAAGGGGTATCTCTCCCAGCCAGAACTGTGTGTATGTGTGTGTGTGTGTGTGTGTGTGTGTGTGTGTGTGTGTGTGTGAGCATGTGCTTGTATGTGTGTTTCCTTATGCCTGAGTCTAACTAACATTATCAGAGCTCTACCCGGTCTTGGTTCCATGACCCTTCTCTCTTTTCCCCTTTTTCTCTTCGTGGATAATGGATCAGAATTTTGGGAGACAGTAAGGCATAGTGGAAAGAGTTTAGTTTTAAAGTCACATTGACATGAGCTCAAATTCAAATTGACCTTAGACAAATTGCTCAGTCACTCTGAACATCTCTGTCTTCATCTGTAAGATTAGAGTAATTTTCATCTCATGTGTTGCTTTGTAAATTGAGTTCGGACGCAAAGTGACTAGCCTAAGTGTGAGCTTTGTTGTTATTGTTGTTGTTGTTTTTTCCATTTCGAATCTCCAGACTTTTAACAACAATGACTCATATAAGTTAGCACTACTACAAGCCTCTATGGTATTTTCCTAAAAGGGAATTCCTGGAAGCTACCAACAATTTTCCTCTTCGAACATGTTATGATATATTTTGGACATGATAAAGAAGCTTACAGCTTTTTAAATATTTATGTTCTGCGTGCCATGCATGCCAACTGTGTTTGCGCTCTCCATTTCTTTTTGTGCCTAGGAGACAAGCCAAACAGTGTGAGAGAAAAATACTGTCAGGACACAAAGTAAACTTGTCTAATGTGCACTCCATGCAGATGTAACCTTAACAGAAAAGAGTGGAGACTGTTCCCTGCTAACACAGTGATACCTTGATTAACGAATCACCTGGGAACAAAGCTCCTTTATAAGCAAGTCAGCTAAGTAAATTTTTATTTTAAAACTTCATGAATCAAATGAAATGGTACTGGCTTATGTCAAATAATTCAACAGTAATATTCTGGGTAAGCTACACTTGGGCCCGAGCAGAAATACCTCCTCAGAGAGTGTCTATTAGTATAAAGGTGAAGAGGTGGATTCTAGGAAAAATTGTGAAGCTACTTCAGATCAATGTTTTTTCACTATTGCAACCACCATGCTTCATCCCCCACATACAGTCAGCAGTAAATTATTATCCTAGGAATGTTGCTGCTCTCAAAATTTTTCCCTTTTAAAACAGGAATCAAAATGATTCACACTTTGAGTTAACAGTTCAAGTTACTTTATAGTGGTGCTACTTATTAATATCTCAATCTTGGCTCCAAGTTGGTACAACTTAAAGAGATTCTGACTTAATTGGTTTGAGATGGGGCCCAGAGTTTGATAGTCTAATACAGATTCAGGACTGTGAACTACTGCTTTAGAATAAAGTTGTATTTTCATATTGTGGTCTCTCCCTTTATAATATCCATGTTTATCCACATGCAGCTATAGGACACTTGTGTCAGAACCACTTGGGGTACTTTTAAAATGAAGGTTCCTATTGCCTCACCACAGAATCACCACTACCAAATCCTGAAGTGTATGGTATGTGTG